GAAATTCTGTCTTCTTGCAATTCATGTTCAGTTCTTTCTTGCCTTACTTTCTGTAGGATTTGTACGTCTGCTATCGACACTGTCATCTGCATATCTTAAGTTGTTAAGATCGTGACCACTAATAATGAATCCAGGTAGCACTTTTAATTCTCTCAGTATTGCTCCATTCTAAAGGTGGAATAAATCTGGTGAGAAGATGCATCCTTGTCTTACATGCCTTTTCATTTTTGTGTATTTACTGATTTCATTTCCTATCTATATGCAAGCAGATTGCTGCCAGCATAAATTCTAGATTATTCTAATATCTTTCCTAAATATGTCAAATTTACATCTACTTATGCTGAAAGGTTATTGTGCGTCTCGGTAATGTTCAATGGGTTAGGGGGTAAGGAAACGCCTGTCAAGAAACAAAATGGCAGCTCCTATGCTGACATGAAAATTTCTTGCCAAAAGAAGAATTGGTTTACTGGAAGCAGTGATGATTAGAATGCGATTTGAATCGGATTCTTGAGGAAACAAATAAAAGATCATCAAATATAGGAATGGTTGATGTTATCTAAATATATACAAGAGATCAAGTATGTTTGCAGAATCTTAGCATGTAATATCTAAACTAGTTATCTTCCTTGCACTGGCAACTCCTGGTGGCAGTGTCTTTGCTATGACTAATGAAGTTGGTGCGCCGATTAAATGATAACTATACTTGAATCTTCATTGCTTAACATTTTACCTCGACCAATATTTTCTCATTTACTCTCAACCACTCTGTGGTATGAATTGCATTGGGCAGTTGTTTATATAACCATCAGTCCAGTTTTCTCGTTCTCATGCTTGTATTACTGGACAGAGGTGGGAGGTCATATGATGCTCCAATCGGCAGCTGGGAAATTGACCCCAGGTCAACCTCTTGGTACAGTTGCCTTCTTTGGCTTAGTGCAAAATTTGTAGCAGAATGTATATTCCATTATCATACCACATGACAATGGCAGATTGTTTCAATATGTTTACGAAGCTTGAAGGTCATAAGACTGATTCCATGAAAGAGCAGAGTACAATGAGAATAATTCAAGAAATACATAATTAAAGAAGCACATTTGAAATTCCAATATTAAGGTTGTAACAAAATATGAACTCATTTTTTTTTTACAACACAGGTATACTGGTTTTGAGATGGTTCTATTGGACGATCTTTCAGCATTATCAAATAATAGACAAATCCACCATTAATAACTAAATATTAAAAGTTTGAAAATATATTTCAAGAATCATGCCTGAGAATTAATAGGTGCTAGAACGAAACAAAAAAAAAATGCTTATCTTTCATGGCATGGCTAAACAAGTATTAATATAAGATTGAAGGTAACATAAAATGGTGGATCAATTTTCTTTTGTAATCAGCCTGATCTCCCAATAATTACTATATATATATATATATATATATATATATATATATATTGTCTTCCACAGACAGACTGTTTTGCTGTATCACAGCTCCTTAGTGTGGCTAGATGTCCGATTATAAAAAAAATTGTTGTCTGAATTATGAAAGATGAAAATAACACTAACATCTCATTTTAATAGATATATTTACCAAAATTTCACACAAATATCTTGAAATGCGAATGAGTAAATTTATTCAATAAAATCGCCATTGGCTTTAACCACAGCCTCCAGATGACTTCGGAATCTCCTGCATCTCTTCAGGATGTCTCCTTTGTTTCAGTTGACAAATAATTTTTTTTTTTATTTGGGGAATGAATACTATATAAACAATTTTTTGGAAATAACAACTATGATGTTGGTAAATTTAGAGATGCTGTTGTTCATTCAAGAAGATGGATGATTTCTTTTTTTGTTTTTAAGTTTTTTCTTTTCTTTGGAATATGAGACCAGCTAAAAAGAATGGTGAAAACGTTCAGGAATTCATTGAAAATTATCCCTGGGATTAATCTAGGGTGTGCTGTAATGGATTTAACATCACACAGTAAGTGGGGGGGGTGGTGTGGGTTGAAACCGTCAGATGGAATTAGTGCGAGAACATGGAATGAAAAGTAGAAAATGTATTTGAAATGATTTTTAATTTTTAAAAATTTTTATTTTTGAAGGCAACATGCCTGCGGGAATGATTAGTTTAAACAAATTAGCTGAATTTTAATTAAGAAATGAACTGATGAGTTATTTTAAATTAAATATATTTATATATATATATATATATATATTTTTTTTTTTTTCAAAGACAGTAAAGTAAATTCAAATGAATTCAGATGGAGGTTCACTGCTGTATTTCTCTGGTTGCAACTTGCGGTAGAGTTGTAACATATTTTCCCCCTAAATCTAACGATTAAAGAGGGAATTAAAATTAATTTTGTTTCACATTAAATATTTTTCTAATTTTGTCATCTAAAATTCCTTTTTTTTCTTCCTCTAATTTTTCTTAATACACATATTCATTTCGTATTTATTCAACCAGTAAATTGCTTTGCTTTTTTTTGCTTTTTAGTCCCTCTTCAGTTTACTTGTCTGTCCCAGTCCATCCTGGGCACGCATGTCTGCCTCCCCCACCCAGTCCACTTTGGGCGCACATGTCTGCCCACCCCCCCGGTCCGCCTTGGGCACGCATGTCTGCCTCAGTCTGTTTCCAGTTTGTCTCTCTGCTTTGGTCCATTGAGTGCCAAGTTTCAATTCTAGTTGGGGTCCTTATATTCACTTACACACAAATACCCTTTAGAAAGGTATGAATCCACCTTTCTTCACCCTCCAGCTAAAGTCTTATTTATAACTTGTATCGGTATAATCCTTAATGTACCCAAAATATTCTTACAATCTAAAAAAAATATTTCTGTGTTTAAATAAAAGGTTAATAAATCATAAAAAACAAATCAATCAAACATCAGAACGAGGACAATCCAACCCTGGCGGTTAAATAAACTTTTGTTTGGTTCTCTGGAGGTTAGAAAGTAGCCTTGCAAGCTAATATTACTGTAATGAGTTCCCTCTGAACTTGGCGCTTTACAGGTGAGGCCTTGTGCCAACCTAATCTGAATAAATACATGTACATAGAGAAAGAGAAACATATACACATATGCATGAGAGAGAGAATATGTATGGCCATATTAATCAACACTGCATGATGATAGTCAGTTTCATGCCTCACTGTGATCTTGGTTTAAAGATCGTATTGAAATGTAACCATGTAGGGTTGATTATTTTGCTTTGTCATCTGTAGCCTGGTGAACATCTCTGTTGTAATGTCCTTATAACCATTCTGATGATGGCTCATGTAGTTGAAAGCTTAGATCAACGACCAATATTATAAAGAAATATCCAAATGTTGGACAGGTTTTGTCTTTATTTTCTCTTGAAACTAAAACCATTATATGATACTTGGAATGGCTCATGATAAAACATAACAGACATTTGTTGTCTGTTATATTTAACAATATATGTTTGAATAATGATCTGCTACCCCTATACACTATATATGTATATACTTATTAAGTAGGTCAATGTCTCGTCCAAGCTTTACCTCCCTTACTCTTAAACATCTTAATAAAAATAGATTTAAAATTATTCCTATCTCCCCCTTCCCTCTCTAATTTCAACCGTGTCTCTCATACTGCTCCTCTCCTTCTCTCTATATCTCATTACATCAACTTAAAACTACCCCTCAAAAGTGTGTAAAAACTATATGTAAATTTAAAAAATTGTTTTCACCCTTGGAAGTGTGGTCTGATGAACCAGTTAAAAATAATATACCTGGTGAAATAAATTATAACCAATGGACCCTTAAGGTTGTCTGTTTTCTATTTAGATTAATAATTGCTCTGATTTGACATTGAGCTCTCTGGATTACATCCTCCTAGGGATTATACATCCAGATTACCAGACTTTTCATTACTTTGTGTGTGTGTGTGTGCAAATATATAGAAAAATAGGAAAGAACCATTAGGTTAATAATCCAAAGTTCTTTAGTATTTTTTTATTTTAAAAAAACAGTGCTTGATACACAAATAGAGCCTATATTATAATTATTTATTTAAAAATATGATTTCATCGCTACATAGGAATTCTCATGTATCTTTTCTAAACTAATAAGTTGATACAATAGTTGCCAGTGAAAATGAATACCCTACTGACCCTTATTAAAATGATTGGCTTTCTCCATATCCATAGAAATTAATATTATGAATGTATATGCTTATAAAGCTCTGTAAATTTCAAAATTAGTTATTCCAGTATTCACTTGAGGATGAAACAGAACTAGGTACTTTAATTTAATTTCTATAATTGAATTGGAAGTTTTCAGCTTCTGTTTTTGAAACATGAGAATTCCTATGTAGCGATGGAAACATTTTTAAATAAATAATTATAATATATATATATATATATATATATATATAGGGATATGTCCAAGATTTTGGAAATTTATAGTACAAAATATGTTTCTAAAAAAAGAAAATCATAAAAAATGTTATTGTTTTGTGCAGAGAGTTTGAAAGAAATATCCCCAAAGATTTTTTAAGAAATATTTGGGTAACTTGATATTGGAAAATGTTATTGAAATATTTTTCAAATTCCTGAAAAATTGTAAATAGCTCTTCATAAAATAAACCTCTGTGTTCGTATGCAAGGCAAAGAACTTCAAACGTCAGTTTTTTATGCCAACTGGTAAAATAATGTTTTTTTTTTTTTTCTTTTTCCAGATTTGGTGTTCAAAAGAAGCCAATATTTATCAACATCATTCGAAAGCCACTTGACCGGTTAGTGTCGTACTATTACTTTGTACGTCATGGAGATGACTTTCGACCCTACCTTAGACGACGGAAGGCGGGAAATAAACAGGTAGGTCTTCTTATTGTATGCATTTAATATCATACATGCAGAGGTCAATGCTGACATCCTTCTGCTCTCAACTGCAAATTTTTATCAGATAACTTTTCTAACCAATCAATGAAATGGTGATCTTAAATCCAAGCATAAATTCTACTGAAAAAAATTTCCATCGGTTATTTTTTTCAAATCAATGAGAAACTAATTTACACTCTCTCACCGATGAAAAAGTGATCTTAAATTGTAACCTAGAAAGGATTACTGAATGAGGAATAACCAAAAAGGAGGTTGGAAACGAAATGGTAATCTCATACCCATTAGGGATCATAGGTATGGTATATATTGTCGCAGAAAGAGAGACCTTTTTTTTTCTTGTTGGTCTTAACTACAAAAATAGGTAATCCTAACTTACAAGGGCTTAAGCCTGATTTTTTTTTTAAATTTGTTCAGTTTAGCGCTCCATATTCATTTAAAGTGCAATTAAGTCTTACAATGATATCTTATGATGGTCATCCTCAATAATGAGGTGGAACACATCATAACTAAAGCAGAGATTGACACATTTTTTTGTCTAGATTTACTACTGTCCTCATTGGAGTTTTATCATGACTTTCATTGCTGTCTGTGTGAAGAGAAATTAGGCAGGATTAGTATAGGGTGCTGCAGTGGTATGTACTCTATAGTTAAGTTTCTACCATTCTATGTAACTTACAGTTTTCTAATCAGGGGTTACAAGTTTGATAGAAAAATGGGCAAAGTTTAACAAATGTACTCCCAAAATATTGCTGTGTCAAAAACAGTTTCTGTCTGGACATTGCTAATTCTGTATACTTCTTTTTGCAGATACATTTGGTAAACTTTGCCAACTTATTTTTTATAAATTAATAATGTTTAACATTTTTCTTGTCATTTTCGAGAGGAAAAAGAATGTGTTGGTTCACTGTGTCTTGCTAGACATTTTTCTCTCCAGAATCTATCTTACATATCTATAAGTCTTTCATTCATCCATGCTTAGAATAATATTGCTGCCACATATGGTCTGGTGCTCCTGATATCTATCTAGAGGTCATTGATAAAATCCAAAGCAGAATCAGCAATATTATTGGTCCTGATTTGGCATCTCGGCTTCAGTCACTTTCCCACCACTATAAAGTTGCCTCTCTGTGCCTTTTCTATAAATACTTCCATGGCAATTGTTTGGGTGAACTCTGTGCCAGGGTCACTAGACTTTATGAATTTAAGCCCAGTATTAAAACTGGTGACGTGGTCTCACCAATATATAGTTAAGTTGGCAAGATGTGACAGTAAGTTCTATACTAACAGTTCCTTTTTTTTTTGCACTTCTCGGTTGTGGAACTGTCTTCTGGCGCCATGCTTTCCAGTCAACTTTAATCTTCAAAAATTTAAATGCAATGTCAATCGCAATCTACTGTCCTCCTGATTACTCTTCTTTTGGGCTTGCTCCTTAATAATGTTTCTGTTTTCTAATTCTTTCACTCAGTTACCCTTTGTGTCTTAGTGGCTTTACTGCCTTGCTTGGGGATGAAATTGATTATAAAAAATATAAATTTAAATGCTTTCAAACTCTTTTAGTTAATTGATGAAGGCCAGAAGAAATGAAAGGAGTGCCTGGAAAATGCATTTAAAATTAATTACTTGTCGTTATGGTGATTTTCTAAGTATATCTTAGAGATGGCACAAGGCTGAAAGTAAGGGGCACCCAGCAAGGATCAAACTTACTATTCAGTTGTAACTGATCTAGCGAGACCAGCTTGATAACCGTTACACCATGTTGAAGTGATCAAATGATTTTCTAGTTGTAGCTTAGATGTGGCACAAGGCCGAGGTGTGGAGCACCCAGTGAGGATGAACTCACTACTCAATTGTAATTGATCTAGCAAGACAAGCTTGTTAACCATTACACCATGTCCAAATGCCCAATTACTCGCCATTATATTCTTGTTCAGATATATTGTTTTTATAGATACTTTTAACATGCTAAATAATAAATAATGCTTTGTAGTTGGTGAACATATTTTTCAAATATAAGATTATTCTTCACTATTTACATTATTTGAACTCTCATCTTTGTTGCCATATTTATCACAGCGTTTCGGCCACTGTACGCTCCAGCCTTCTTCAGGTGGTTGGGATGTCAAACTGAACCCTTTATTTCACTTGCTGGGGTAGACTGTTCTAGTTCCACGTGCCATGTCTAATGAATGTCAGTTATCAGTTATCTCCTGTTAATTCCCCTCTCCAAGTTCTCCACCGCCTTCACCAGGTATTGAACTCCCACTCTTTGGCTCCTGTTACTGCATCTAACTAACGCCTTTATCCATTGTGCCATGTGTTCTCAAGGAGTAGACTGTTCTAGTTTCATGTGCCATGTCTAATAAAGGGTTCAGTTTGACATTCCAACCACCTGAAGAAGGCCAGAGTGTACAACAGTCGAAATGTTGTGATAAATATGGCGATAAAGATGAGGACAATAGTCCAAATAATGTAAATAGTGTACATAATACCTCATCTCAGAAATATAGACAAATACTGAAGATTATTCTTGTAAATAATCAACCAAATAAGATAGTGTTTAACATTTTTGTTGTCAGTCCTCAAGATTTCTGCTTTTATGAAAATTCTAAAAAATAGGTTTTCTAAGCAATAAAAATTGCCCAGGGTGTATACAAGGTAGTGTTAGAAACATCCTTTTGATATTTCATCTTTTTGTGGCTCTGGGTTTTAAACTTTGCTGACAAATGTTTTTGGGAAGGTGGATTGGAAAGGCTGTATTCACAAAGGAATATAGATGTAGAAAGTGTAAGTAGTTGAAGATTAAATTTATAGCAGTGAATTTATTTTCAGAACAGGCTACACTGGATAAAGTAATGCACACAATTGGTTAGTATAATTTTGTACCAAATACAGGTACCATCTGGAACTGTCATGTCTGCAAAAAAATTTTGACTTAAAAAATATTTGGACAGAAAATCAAATAACTGTTTCACTGGGATTTGTATAAACACATATATATATATATATATATATATATATATATATATATATATATATATATATATATATATATTATAAATATGCAATCAATTTACAAATACATGAATTATTCACACAAAACTAATTCAAAGGTTAATGATTTAAATGGCGAGACATCCATCATCGCAAACAATTCAAATAGTATACAAAAACCTACAGATCCGTTATGAATGAATTGATCCTTGTTTATATAAATTTCTGCCGTATTAGTTGTTATTTTTACTACAAGTTTTCATCTGTTCCTACAGACATCTTCAGGTATAGAATAGATGTTGTTTTTTTTTTTCTCTTAGTAATAAGAGGACAACGAAAATATGTGTTATTGTTGTCCGAAAAAATGCTATTGAAAATGAGTTATTGGATTTTTGGAACGCGCCAAAGCAACGCTGAGTTTGATTTTAAATTTTTAAATGTTTTGCGTTTATACCAAATATGGTGATGAACAAATTTTACTGGTAAATTTTTCTGTCAAAGTGGCATGAACTATATTGTTCAATAATTACAGTAATGTCGCACTTATTATCCAAAAGTCGCACTTGGATCAGTTATTTAAATTACAATTAAACGTGCAATCAATTTACAAATACATGAATTATTCACAAAACTAATGCAAATTAGTTTGATTATAAATATTCGACATCCATCATCATCACATTATTTAAATATATATATATATATATATATATATATATATATATATATCCTTATATATATACACACACACACACATATATATACACATATATATATATATATATATATATATATATATATATATATATACATACACACACACACACACACATATATATATATACACACACACACATATATACACACACACACATATATATATATATATATATATATATATATATATACACACACACACACACACACACACACACATATATATATATACACACACACACACACGTTAAATAAACGAGGGACACAATAAATTGCTGTGGAGAAAATTATTTGAGAAATAATTGTCTACTAAATAAGCATCGTGCAGGTAGGGAGAAGGAAAAGTCGATTGGGGTAAGTGTAAAACGTGGGGGAGGTGATGGTTCTTATTCTGATACAAGGGCCTATTATGTTTTGTTAGAGTTTACAGGTATGTTTATTATTGCCATTAGTTCATCACAGAAAACTTCATCGTATAGATTCAACAGATTTTCTGTTTAATAATTTCAATTCAATATGTTTGGATTTTATTAAAATTTCTAAAAAAATAGATTTTTTGCTATAAACGCTTTGTCAAGGGAAAAAAGTGTCCCTTTGATGATCTATTTTTTTGTAGCTCCAATTGGGATGGGGAGAGAAAAGGAAAGGTCTGTTGGGAAAAGTGTAAAGCATTGTGTGTGTGTGTGTGGGGGGGGGTGATGGGTCTTATCTTGACACGCTGACCCATTACTTTTGTCAGGATTAGGGTGATCTTACAATGTGGCAGGGTTGTCAGGCTGGGTTATTTTTAAAAGCCCAACATTAGTAAAGTTTGAATGTTTTTTTTTGTTTTTTATCATTAAATCAAAAAATGGCAACAATGCCACTGGAATCTTGGGGATTACAGGGATTTTTATGAAAGATAATGAGAAGACTTTAGAGAGGTGAGGAAAAAAAACAACAAAGGAACAAGATTCAGGAAGACAGGAGATGGTGATTGATGTATTTAATTTGAAGATTATAGATGGCAAGGAAGCAAGAAATTGGCTTGGACTTCCACAGGCAAGTAGTGCGAGAAAAGAAACTATTAGAATAGAACTGATGGTAGCAACTAGTTAGTTCAGCAGTCAAATGGTGCAACCTGTTTACATTGTTTGGACTGTCGTTCTCATCTTGATCGTTGTACTCTCTGGCCTGCTTGACAATAAAGATGAGGACAACAGGCCGAACAATGTAAATAGTGTAAATAGCTACAATACCTCATCTCAGAAATATCGACAGATGATGATACCTAGTCGCCAATCTAGTAGCACAGTTAAATTCATGCAGTCAAGGCACTGAGAATTGCTATGAAAATATTTGTAGAAAAGACAGAGGGCAGCTACATGACAGCAGTTGGAAACTGACTGAAGTAACTAAAGCCAAGATACCATGTCAGAATTGATTACATTACAGACTATTCTTTGAATTTTGTCAAGAATCTTGAGATGTACAACAGGTGCGCCAGACTAGATATGGCAACGGTTTGCAACGCACGAACGAATAGTAGATTTATAAATGTGCAAGAGGAATTACTACTTGCGACTTTTCATGCTAATTTGTAAATAAGCAGGGCTACCTTAGGCAACTATTAAGAAGAAAAGTCAATTCAGAAGTTAATTGTGCTGTGCTTTCAAATATCACCCAATTCACTACTTGTAGCTGAATGTCTTAACCTGGCTTGAATGTCAAAATGGGATTAACAAGTACGCATTAAGTGGGAAATAATGTTTTAATTCAAGTCATAAACATAAATCTCACTCATGGTTGATTTTATACATCTACTCTAGAACGTATACTGGGATATAGGGTTGCTGGCCTTTTTTTTTTTTTTATTTAAGCATTTCACTCCAAGCAAGGTAGGAGTGCCACAAGTATGCAAAGCGTTACAGAGAGTGTAAGTAAGAGAAAAGACTGGATATTGTCAACCTATTAAGTTGAAAGGCCAGAAAAAAGAAGAACAGGGATCAAGGCATTCAGAAGATGTTGATTGACATTACATTTAAACTTTTGAAGATTATAGTTATCCAGGAAGCAAGTAAGAGGAAGGGAGTTCTACTTTCAGGAAGTGCAAAAGAAAAAGCTTTTGAAATAGATGAGGTGGTTACATTTAATTGTTTTAACAGTAAAAGGGTGCCTTGAAAGACTGATGATACCAAATTTTGAATAGTGCTACTTTTAAAATAAGCAGGACTTACTTGGACTACTAAAAAGATAACGGCCAATTCAAATTTTATAGAACAAGGATTTCAAATGTCACTCCATTCTCTACTTAGTAGCTCAGTCTTGTAATGTAGTATGTAGCCAGTCCAATTCTAGATTTCTTCAATGGATGCAAACCTTTTCATTACATCAATGAAAGAAAAAAAAGGGACATTTGTTTTCTCTGAGTGTCAAACATGATTGACTCCAGATAAATAAATAAAACACAAATTTCTGTAAGACAAGGACAATATTGTTTAACGGGGTTCGGATAAAATTAAAGGATGTTCTGTAAAGAAGACATCTCTCGTGTAGATTTATGTTGTAATGTTGTGTTTGTTCAAAATAGTTGAGAATTAGGAAAGCCATAGTTAAAGGAACAGAAGACTAGGTAGGGAGAACAAAGAAGAGGTTTATTAAATTCTCATACATAAAACGGAAATACTTGAGTAAATCAAATACTACTCAAATCCTACTCTAATGTGGCTACTTGACATATAAGTAGGAGCAATCCATTGTCATAACAGTAGGGAAGAACAGGAAGTATGCTGAGTCCTACTCTACAACTCTTTAAAAGAACAGTCTTATATTTGAAAGTTAGAATGATTTTTATGATTTGTTTCTTGATTTTGAAAATGTATGCCGTGGAGAGAATTCCCTCATCCCAGGCACTTCTGCAGTCGCTCTCTTTTTTTTTTTCCTTTTTTTTAATCAAGCAAGGTGATAATTCCACCAAGATACAAGGGGGAGTGAAAGAGAATGAAAAAGATTTTAGAAGGAACCAGAAACCCAGTCCTAAACAAGAAACAAGGGATAAACCTCTACTCCTGTTCAAAAGACATCAGGGGAGTGTGAACCGTATGATAGGTGAACCTCCTTACTCCTATTGAGGTAAAAAAAAAATAGTAAAGGAAATTTTAGAGTTCAGGCAGAGACCATAGAAGTATAAACAGACTTTAGGAGGAACTGGAAACCCAATCCTAAACAGGAAACAAGGGATAAACATCTACTCCTGTTCAAAAGAGTATAGAGTTGAGGTAGACTTTAGAAAGAACTAGAAATCCAATCCTAAACAGGAAACAAGGGATAAAATTCTACTCCTGTTCAAAAAACTGGAGAGGAGTGTGAACTGGTCGATGACCGAACATATCTTCTCTTATTGAGGAAAAAACAAAAAAATTTTTAGAGTTTAGGCAGCTTGAAACGTGCGAGAAACTTGAACCAGGTTGAATGTTAGTCATAAGCGGCAAGGGATTCATATCTACTTTCTCTCCCTATTTTCTCTTCTCCCTCCATCTCCTTTTTTTTAAAAAAAAAAAACCCAATTTTTTAAAAAAAACAAAACAACTCTGGTGGAGATATATTAATGGCTAAACAAGACCCTATCTGGGTTTTGCTAAAACTTTTTTTTTTCTTTCAAATGTCTTTAATGATCTTTGTCTATCTAATGAAAAAGCCAGTCCGATTCGCTTCAAGCGTCTCCAGAATGGAAATTCACATACCCGGTCTGTTTATTTATTTATTATTTTTTCTCTATATACAAATATTTAAAATTTAAGTAGGGGTGATAAAAGGACACAGTTGTTTGCACATAAAAAAACATCTTTGTCTTGGCTGCTATTTTTATTTGGGGAACTTTTTCAAGCAGTACATAGTGCAAAAAGAACCTCATGTTAAAGCACCATTCCTTAAAAAGTGATTTCATATTTAGACCTATAAAGTGTGTTTTACATTTGAAACATTTCTAAAGAAGTAACTAAAGAACATTCTTCTTTGCACAAAAACTGTGTTAATATAGTTGTTTAGCTAAAGGGGATACAGCCACATGAAGGCAGCTGATGTGATATACGGCTGGTAGTGTTGGATAGTGATTCAAGATAATTTGTCCTTCTTTCTCTCTATCAGCCCCACCCTGCTTTTCTTCATCAGTCGCTCTGTCTGTCCCTTTCCATTTTCGGAAGAAAGTTCTATCTGTTATTTTTTTTTGTCAACAAAATAAATGAAGACTTTCCTTTTCTTCATCTCTTTCTCTCCCACTTTCCTTTTCTTTGTCGTTTGCTCTCCCTTTTTCCTTTTCTTTGTCCGTCTCTCTCTCTCTCTCCTTTGTCAAGTCTCTCTCTCTCTCTCTCAATTTTTTTGTCGCAAAAGTCTCTCTCTCTCTCTTTCCTTTTCTCTCTCTCTCTCTCTTTCTCTCTTTTTCTTTCCTTTTTTTTTCTCTCTCTCTCTCCTTTTTTAAAAAGCCAAAATTCTCTCTCTAATTTTTCTTTGGAAGAGGCTCTCTCTCCTTTTTTTGTCTTTTTTCGCTCTCTCTCTCTTTTTTTTTTGTCGCATCTCTCTCTCTCTTTTTTCTGATCTCTAACTCTCTCTCTCTCTCTCCTTTAAAAATCTCTCTCTCTCTCTCTTTCTTTTTTCTTTTTTCTCTCTCTCTCTCCCTAAATTCTTTTCGCTCGCTCTCTCTCTCTCCTTTTCTTTGTCGCTCGCTCTCTCTCTCTTTTTTTTGTTCTTTTCTCTCTCTCTCCTTTTCTTTTTATTTTTCTCTCTCTCTCTCTCCTTTTTCTTTTTTTTTCTCTCTCTCCTTTTCTTTGTCGCTCGCTCTCTCTCTCTCCTTTTCTTTGTCGCTCGCTCTCTCTCTCTCCTTTTCTTTGTCGCTCGCTCTCTCTCTCTCCTTTTCTTTGTCGCTCGCTCTCTCTCTCTCCTTTTTTTTCTCCTTCTCTCTCTCCTTTTCTTTCTCTCTCCTTTTCTCTCTCCTTTTCTTTGTCGCTCTCTCTCTCCCTTCCTTTGTCACTCTCTCCTTTGTTTTTTCATTTTTTCACACTTTCTCTTGTTTTCTGTCTTTTCCATTGTTGTGTGTATGTATGTATGTATATACACACACACACACACACACAGATTCTGCTTTCTTTCCTTTCTATTTTCTCTTAACCCCTTCTTCTTATTTATATCTCATTCTATTGTGCTTCCTTTTCTTTGCCAAATCACCCAATGTCTTCATCATCAACCCATGACTAATGGAGTCTAATTGTAAAGGCAGATTCGCCTTGTTGTCTCTTTCCTTTTCCTAGCAGACTTTTCTCTCCATAAGCACCCACCGTCTCTCTACTCATTTTCTTTTTTTTTTTTCAGGTTTTCCTATTTTAAGTTTAAAAAAAAAAATTCAAGACCCATCACCCGCCTGTACATTCTTCAAGTCAGAAATTTATAGCCATATTGTGAAGCACATTAAGATGTCACACGACTAAGTGTAAACCTTTTATGACTGGTTTTACACCACACAACGAGATCTGATTTTTTTACATTTTTCTTCCTTTTTTTTTTTTATTTTTTTTTTTTTTTCAAGCACTTCTTGCTTAAGTCTGTGGTTTTAAGAAACAGGAATTCTGAACATTTTCCTTTTTTTTTAAATTGGTTATTGTCTTCATAATTCGTTTTTTTACTTTCTCTTTCTTGTCTTTTTCTACTTCCTTGTCTCCCAACGTCTTTACTTAGCTCTTTATTTACCTTTGTTTCCTTACCTCATTGATCCCTTCTCTTTCTTTCTTCTTCTCTTGTTCTTCCTCTCCTTTTTTTCTCTTGTTTTTCTGTTTTCCTATTTCTTTCTTGTTTTTCCTCTTTCTTCCTTTTCCTCTTTCTTTTTTCCTCTTTCTTCCTTTTCCTCTTTCTTTCTTCCTATTTCTTTCTTGTTTTTCCTCTTTCTTCCTTTTCCTCTTTCTTTTTTCCTCTTTCTTCCTTTTCCTCTTTCTTTCTTCCTATTTCTTTTTTCCTCTTTTTCTTTCTTCCTTCCTTTCTTCTTTCCTTTTTTCTTTTCTTTTTTTCCTTTTTTCTTTCTATTCTCTCTTTTTCCTCTTTCTTTTTCCTTTTGTACTTCTTTCTTTCTTTTTTTCTTTCTTTCTCCTTTTGTACTTCTTTCTTTCTTTCTCTCCCTTTTGTACTTCTTTCTTTCTTTCTCTCCCTTTTGTACTTCTTTCTTTCTTTCTCTCCCTTTTGTACTTCTTTCTTTCTTTCTCTCCCTTTTGTACTTCTTTCTTTCTCTCCCTTTTGTACTTCTTTCTTTCTCTCCCTTTTGTACTTCTTTCTTTCTCTCCTTTTGTTCTCTCTTTCTTTCTCTCCTTTCCCTTTTTCTCTCCCTTTTTACTTTCTTTTTTTCTCTCCCTTTTGTACTTCTTTCTTTCTCTCCCTTTTGTACTTCTTTCTTTCTCTCCCTTTTGTACTTCTTTCTTTCTTTTTTCCTCTTTCTTTCTTCCTCTATCGTTTCTACTTGTTTTCCTATCTTTTCTGCTTTCTTCTTTGTTTTTTCACCTTTTCTTTATCTCCCTTTGTTTTCCTGCCTTTTTTCCATCCATTCTTGTTTTCCCTCCACTCCTCATCCAAAACTCTTCTCTATATCTCTTTATCAACCTTTTCTTTACTCTTTGATTTCTTCCCCGCTCTCTCTATCCACTTTTGGATCTCTTTATTACCCTCCCTTCTAACATCTCTCATTTTCACTTCTCCCTCTATTTTCAGTTTATAATATCGAATAGGTCTTCATGCCAATTTTACAAATGAGGCAAAGTTTTTGATGAGTACAATAACAAAAGAAGGAATACAAATTAAAATCATTTCATTCAAGCATCGAACCTGAGTATTTTAGTCAGTGGAGTTTTACGAGTATTTTCGGGAGTTCATGCATCCAGCACTTTAATACCTGGATTCTGGAGATTGTATCACATATACTCACGTACATACACACATGAACATATGGATCTCAGTTAAGTTGCATTCCTCAGTGGCCTGTATCGAAGTTGCTTGACAATTTGATGACTTCCATTGCACGGGTTTGGAAGATTGAAGTTTCTAAGCAGCTTGATGCCTGTCCCACGTTTTTGCCAAAACTTCTGGAAAGGAACCCTCAACAGCTCAGGAGAGTTTACAAACTTAATTAGGTTCTTCTCAGCATCAGAAGTTTCCAGAACCATGTCAGTTGATTGTTGCCTTTGAAACTCTGGGAATTGGCTGTAATGACTTCCGGTTTCTTTCTTTGATTGCATCCTTCTATGGTGTATGCATGTGTACAGCGAGTAGTCATCATTAAATGTAAATAAGTGAATGGTAGGACTGCCCAATTACATGATAAAGAAAAGAACAGGGTAAAAAAATAAACTAATAGAAAACAAGCAAACAATATAAGACAATAATAATGAGGCAAAGCAACAGTAACATGGCAAAAACATCACAAACTAAGAATTGGGGTTGACACACGAGAGCAAATTTGGTTAAGTGAACGTAGCGTTCTGACTTCAAAGCAAGGCAGACTGGAACTGAATCAGATGACACTGACAAGTGGCCTATCTTATTGGCTAGGAAAAAATCCCAGCATGCAGTGTGCTTCCTAACAGGATTGAAACCTCTCACAGCACTGCTGGTAGTGTCTTTTCTGTAGCTTGGGCCTCTGTTTTAACAGAAGACGTAAGATGCATTAGAATAGTGAAAGATGCTTTCCAAAAGCTAAGCAAAGTATTAAGAAATAGGAAAATTTCCTTAGAAATAAAGAACAGAATACGTAACTGTTAAGTAATATCCATTTTCTTATATATCTGTGAATGCTGGAAAATCTCACAGATGAATAAGAAACTTGAAGTAATAGAAGTGTGGTTATACAGAAGGATACTAAGAATACCATGAAGGGACATGGTACATAGAAGATGAAGTACGAGCTTGTGTAAACGGTTGGCCAAACAGGGTTTAGGAGTGATAGCAAAAATACAAAATTTGGTAAGAGCTACAAAGAACAGGAAACTGTGGAGAGCCATGATCACCAACGTCCTGAAGGGACATGGCACATTGAAGATGAATAACAACAAGCTTGTGTAAATGGTTGGCAGAACAGAGATTTAGGAGATATAGCAAAAAGATAAAATTTACTAAGAGCTACAAAGAACAGGAAATTGTGGAGAGCCATGATTGCCAATTCTATGGCACATAGAAGTTTGGGACATTTTTTTCACATTTCAAGTTTAATTTTAGAAATTCATCATTGGACAAGGTTTTACAAATGAAAGAAAAATTTTTTTCTTTTTGTTTAAAAAAAAAAAAACTATGCAAAAATTTGGATTGTTGTAATTTTCCATTTGGTTGTGATGTTTGAAGCTGTGATTTTGAGATGTGTTACTTTCAAGCGAGTCAAAAATCAATAAATACATTTTCTTTAACACCCTTATTTTCATTTACGCATATGTGTCCATTAAAATCAATGCCGGTATGAACAAATTTTCTTTTACATTCAACTCTTGTGTCTGGGGAGATTTGTGACGAGATGTTGTATGTATTCCATTGCATTGACTGAGACGAGGTGTTAGTTAATATTGATTCCTTGTCTTGGTTGAATTTTTTGTTACATTTCGGCTACTGCAACCTGTGACCCTGTTTCTATATATCAAGAAGTGTGCAAATATCCCCTCTATCTTTCTCTCTCGGGCACTCTCTTAAAACTACATACTTACTATGGAGCCTACGGTCACAGCCAAATTATTCTATGTGGTGCTACTGTGGTTTCAGTTGCAAGTAGGTTCTAAGTTAGGATTGGAGTCATGCATAACCAGTTTTGAATTCAGAATTGTCCTTCTTGTAGACTAGTTGCCAACTAAATCTAGTGAGCTGTCCAGAAGAAAATGGTCGAATACTCTGAAGGCCAAAAATGCTTTCATTTTGCATGATTCTTTTGTAGAAAAATAAAAAAGAAAGAAAATGTGCTTCACCACTGAATGAGGTCAGCCAATTTTTGTAAATGAGCTTCTGCCAATCAATCGTGGTTCAAGTGTTACTGAGTGGAATGGATTGAATAGAAAAATATGCTAATCCATTTCTATGCTCCACCAATCAAAAACCTTCAAATAAGGGTCCACCAAACTGCTATAAAAGATCTTTGACTTGTCCTACGGAGAGAAACAGGATGAGGATGCTGTATGCATGTGTTATAAAGATTTAGACTGTGAGCTTTTTATTATACATGTTTTGTATGTAAGGGAGACCTGCAAGGTGAGATGCTTTATCAAGTCAAAGTTGATTAAAGCATCAAGTATTTTTTCAAAAAAAAATCCTTAAATGTAAAATAATTAATCTAAGTACATTAATTTAAAAAAAAATAAAAGGCTTCACCATTCTTGTCTAAAGCTTGACTCTTTCAGTAATAATCAGTAACACATTGGCAGCTGGCCTCAGCTATGTGCCACATGTGATACACACTTAGGCAATCACGTATCTTTCGATACATGACTGACGAGGCAGATTTTTTCCTCAAAGTAGGTTGCCATTTCTTTCTGCAGTCAACCAGTTGCTACTTAGTCTGTCTTGCTATTTACCCATAGCTGGGGGGAGAAGAGGAGGATTCATACCTTTCCCAAGAGTATTAGCACATCAGTAAAAGTAATGAATTTGACTGAAATTCGAACTCAGCTCTCTGATTTCTAAATCTGAGCTGCTATCGATTACTCCACCATGCCTCCTGGCAGCTGACCTAGAGAAGTGCAATCCATATTTTGTACAGAAGAAAATGGTATTATCATCATCTTTTGCTCTCCCTATAGTTGGTCAGAACTCCATTGACAATTCCTTTTCACACTGTTTGGTTCTGTATTCCCGTCCACAGATCCCCAATGTCCAACCAAACCCTGAGCTATGTTGTCTGGGGAAAGTCAATTCTTCTGAGAATACACTTCCAGAAGGATGACATATATGTAAGGATGAAATTATTTCCCTGTCAGCTCGATGGCAGTGGTCAGCAAACTGTAAACTTTTTTGTCTGAGCTTAAGAGAAATTGGCCTCAATTCTCTGTAAATTGTGTTGCATGGGATCACCAACTGATGTTCTGAATTTTACTAAGTAGATTTATATATGTTCCATCCAGTCATCAGATCCCAAAGACCAAAATACTTTCATGTTGTATGCTGCATTTACAGAAGAAGAAAAAAAGAAAAATGTTTTGCTAGTGAATGAGGTCACCAAAACTTATGCAAATTAGCTTCTGCTTATCAATCATAGTTCAAGTGTCATTGAGTGGAATGGATTGCATAGGAAAATATGTCAATCCATTTCTATGCTCCACCAATCGAAAACCTGTAAAGGGTCTGACAAACTGCTGTAAAAGTAACTGACTTTTCCTACCAAGGAGAATTTTTGCAAGGAGGCTGCATGTGTATATACATGGAGATATGGACTTTGTGAACCTTTATTAACCCTTTACTGTCCAGGGCATTTTTGCATGTACTATCCAAACGTTCATGCTTGTTTTCAGATTTATAACTATTGCAAGGCAACTCAGTTTATTTGGCAAATAGAATTTGCTGATATATAGTGTTTCACATAAGAAAAACCTGTGCATCACATGTTATTTGCACTATGTTGTGTGCATTACATGTGATGCAAAGACTATAATCATTTCAATAAAGTGGGAAAATCTTGATGTCATTTCATTTTACATTATCAATAAAGTGTAAGTGTCCTGTGGTCATATCTGATGCACAAAATATTAGATTCGGCCTTTCCTCAGACATCCTGCTCAACATTGGACTATTTTTTTTTTTAAGTGTTTGTAGTTTTACCACTCTTTTAAAATCATGGCTCATGTGCACCACATATGATCAATGGATGTGGACATCACATGTTCTGTGCATCATATGTGATGTGTAGGACAGGCAAAGGGTTAAAGAGCAGCCCAGCTCTTAACCTCTAGCTGGAGAGAGAAGAGATGGATTGCCAAAGGGCATTTGTGTGAAAGCCTTGGTTGGAATTAGAACTCGGCTTGCCAGTCCCAATTTCCATGTACATATATGTGTAAATCTAGATGTAAGTCAGCAACTGATGTTAATGGTAATAGTTTCTTTATTTATAAGGAATTTTTTTTTTCTCTTCCATTCCATTCGTTAATTTAAATTAATTTACACGCTTTTTAAATTTTCTATTCCCAGAAAAGTAAACTTGATAAGTCCAGGGACGAAACCAGTTGTTTTTTTATTTTTATTTTAACTTTTTCTTTTAAAAATGCCTTATAAATTTTGTCTTTTTCTATCTATTATTAAATTCTGTACCACAAAAAACTTATTTATTTATTTATATATATATATATATATATATATATAATCAGCTGATTCCACTCCCTTCGTTGTAATTTAATTTAAACCAGAGATTGGAAATTGTTGCATTGCATACATACTAAAAAAAAGTCCCTTTTGAGTTCATTTGAAGTGGGATAAAAAGAACCTATGTATATTTTTCATTTTTTTTTTGATACATTTCCAATACACTTCATTTTCCCCTCCTCATCGTCTACTACACCTCATGTTGTGCGTTTATTCGGTTATTCGTTTATTTTTTAAAAAATATAGTGATTGTAAATTTTTATTTTTAAGAAATAAAGCGTCAGGAAATCGACTGACAGAAATTACCTGAATATACTGAAAGGTTGAAACCAAGATAGCGGAATCAGCTGATTTC